TTGCTCGCCGACCATTGCAATTTATCTTTTTTTTTTGATAAAGTAATCTTTGGTTAAGCAACTGTGTTCTTAATTTCGAAATCAATGTAGCTCTTGAGGAGGCATGTTTTGGGAATTCCCAGTATCCGGTTTAGAGACACCCCAAATGTCAGGGTTGCATTCCAATCCCTGCCCTTCACAAACATCGATAGTGCCTTCACCTCACCCCACCCCAATCCTATAGGAAGGCCATGTAAGGTCATATAAACTCTATAAACCAAGTTGAACACTGCCTAGGGATGGTATGTTCAGGGGGAAAACCCACATTTAAATACATTCAGCTGTTCACATCTACAGATTCAACCATAATATTAGGACCTGTGATCTTTCATTTATGCTGAATGCTGGGAGATTTAAGATAGGTAGGAGGGAGCACTTTTTCCACACTGCATGAGCCATGCAGTTTACATTGCTACTACACTGAGGAGGAAAAGGAGCGTCAGTGATCAAGGTATCATGAAAAAGGTTTCTGGAACTACAGTAGATAAAGTGCCACAGATGTAGCAAGTTTTCTTCAGAGACATTGATGCAATACAGTTTTCAAAATACAGCCCAAATCTGACTGGTGACCACCACCCAGAAGCCCTTTTCATTGGCTGCCCCAGGACTGTGGAATGACTTGCCAGAGGAGCTCAAACAGCCAAATGAGCTGTCAAAATTTAAGACACAACTGAAGACTCATCACTTCCAGCAGGCCTACCCACACAACTTTGAACCATGAGTTTGGGGTTTGCAGTCTATTGCCACTGCATCTCTGTACTCTGAATTTGATATATGTATTTTTGTATGTATTTTATGTTATGTTTTGACTGTGTTGCACCCTGCCTCAAGCTGTTAGGAGAAACAGGTAACAAATACAAATGTCGTTGTTATTGTTATTATCATTGTTATTCAAGCCACGGACATTTAAGCACATTTTATTGGTGGCAGGGAGATGGATCACAGTGTAACGGGGCACAGAAAGATGCAAAATGTGATAAAAGTTATCAGTCCTCAAAGGGCTGAGGAAGATGTTGTAGGTCTGTGGAGCAGCTTGGCCTTTCAGCCTTGAGCAGACAAAGCAGTACATAGTCCTTAATTGAAAGTTAATTTCCTTGAAGAAAGACATTTTTCTGAGATTTTTGTTGCATATGCAACTGTGATTGTGACTTATGGCATAGCAGAAGTCAATATTGCTGTTCATACTCTGCTAATTGTGAATACAGGCAGTCCCCAAGTTACAAACAAGATAGAATCTGGAGATTTGTTTTTAAGTTGAATTTGTATGTAAGCTAGAACAGGTACATTTTAAAGTGTGACTCCAGCCTATCTATCTATCTATCTATCTATCTGTCTATCTATCTATCTATCTATCTATCTATCTATCTATCTATCTATCTATCTATCTCTAAGCTTTGGATAGCACAGGCAAGGGTTAACACCCCTGTGGTGTTTGTTTTGCTCACTGTTCTCCTGTTCAGAAGATTTCACCTTACTTTTTGTCCCTGTGAAAACTGGATTTTGAAAAATGTGGCTTGTTGTGGAAACAAGGACTGGTGCTAAAGCTGTGGTGGAGACATGTTGCCCCCATGATAACTCTGTCAGGAGTGAATTTCCCTTTAGAGGGGTAGATTTCTCTCACTTTCTGTTGTCTCATCCTTATTCTTAACTATGAGTCATTTGTAAGTCAGATGTTTATAACTCTGAGACTGCCTTTATATTCTAATTCCACTTTTCTCTCCTCCATGATGATGATAATGATGGGGTGGAAAGAGACAACCAGTGGCTAACTCTTTCACTTGTCTGGATACCCAATCATAGATATTCAGATAGTTCTTCAGAATAAGCAACTGCTTGACATTATGCCACGTATGTCTCTTTGAAGCACAGGTCTTAGAACTAACTGTACAGACATGCAATATATTCTCTGTTCTACAATCAGGCACTGAACCAGCAGACAACTAACAGTTCTGATTGGCTCCAACAATAAATCTCTCCCACATTCTCCTTTGAAAGTACAGTACATGGGTTTCTGTGACGAGTCTATCTGAATGAATTACGGTATTTATGATTATCATTTGTACAGAGTGAAGTTTCTAGGGATAGACCATTTTTAGGGATTTCACATCTAGTTTGTTCGTAACTGTCCTTCCAAGTCCAAGGGTGCATCAATGCTGTAGAACTCTAGACTGCCAGTGCCTCACTGCACACCTCTACCACATCGACAGATGCCTTTACAACAGTGCTTCTCTACCTGTGGGTCCCTAGGTGTTTTGGCCTACAACTCCTAGAAATCCCAGCCAATTTACCAGCTGTTAGAGTTTTTGGGAGTTGAAGGCCAAAACATCTGGGGACCCACAAACTGAGAACCGTTGCTTTACAACTGTGATGGAGCCATGTCACATTTTCATACAGTATCAAGCAGAATTAAAGCAGTTTGGCACCACTTTAGCAGCCATGGTTCAATGCTATGAAATCATGGGAACTGTAGTTTTGCCAGGTGTTTGACTTTCTCTACCCAAGAGTGCTGGTGCCTCACCAAACGATAACTCACAGAATTCCATTGCATTGAGCCCTGCCAGTGAAAGCCATGCCAAGCTGCATTAATTCTACACAGGCATGTAGAAATTCTGATGGTGGTCCACGAGAAGGCCTTACTGGTGCATTATTTAAACTGCTATGTTTATTCATATCAT